GGACTAAATGACCCCTGGAGGTCCCTTCCAGTCCTACTTTTCTATGATTTCTATGTATTTTCATATGCAACAACCTACTTTGTTATATACAATGAGCTGATGCTGAAATCAAAGGAGTTACTCTATTGTCAATGGCCTCAATACTTCCTACAACAAAAATACTATAGCTGCAAGTCAGGACATGGGTACTTTGACAGAAACCTTGTCCTGGAACTTGCCACACCCTGTATGACTCTAGTGTGAGTTATTATATTGTTATTTCCACCAGCATCAAAGTCTCAAAACATTTTTGAAAGAGAATGTCTCACTTTCTGACAGGAGGTACCTAATACCCAAAGCAGTACTCTGCATTTTGAAGGTGACTTGGTTTCAAGGGGGCTTTTCAAAAGTGTTAATTGGGTAAGCTCCTCAGTTGTCTTAAATCTATGTACATGCAGAGACAACGAAGAGATTCCAAGTTAATCAGCTAAAGATTTATCCCCCTCCCCTTCGCTTTTTGTTTGTTTGTTTGTTAGTATATAATTTGTAGCTTTATTGGCCCACTGCACTTCAGATATGTGTGTGGAGGGTTTTCCTGCCACATATTTCTGTAACCCATTTTTGTACCAACACCTATTGAGGCACAACATGTGCCCTGTGTCTGGAAAGGTGGAGAGTTCATTCGAGGCTGCCACTGCCACTGTCACACAAATCATCCATCTTGGATAGATCAGTTAGGACTCCAAACAAAACCCAATGAAATCAACAGAAAGATTCTCACTAACTTCAACAGGCTATGGATTAGGACCTTGGACCTTATCTTATCATCAGCCTGTCCCATGAACATTTAAATGCAGGATACAGCTTCCATTCTGTTGCATATGGTGTCACTGGCTAGCGTGCACCTGTTGGCTCTGATTATCTGTGACAACCACACTTCTAAAACAGCAGCAGAATGAAACAATAAAGTCAGAAGTGACTGCAAAAGAGAAGTGCTTGGTTTTAGTGTATTTTAAGCTCACTTCACACTGATGCAAAGGACTGCACAATATACAGGCCAATGGAGAATCACTCTCCTAGTGTTTGAAGAGGAAAGCCAGCTTCCCGATGTCACTCCTAAGTATATTCATCCTGTCAGGGTTACATGCAGCAACTAAGTCACTGCAGGCCTGGCCATCTCCTTGCCCTGTCATGAGACATGGTTGCCTCTATCCTCTTCAACCCTGAAAAGCAGCTGGACTGAGTTTGCTCCATATGGTATTCTGAAAATTAACCACATGCTCAGGGAACACACACATATGGCTTTTTCATGTTGTTAAAAGGATAGCACAGAGTTACTTACATAGGATGAACAATATGGGCTGAAATGGGGTATAGATACCCTTATCTCTGAGTCACTGGTTCATAGCAATAAACTGCGGTATATCATTGTACGAGATAACAACTGTACGGTTGGCAAGTATGAAATCACTTGGTTTCAGTCCAGTTTGTAGTATCCTTCTGTACAGGTGTCTTTATCACAAGTGTATACTTACCCTCAGTTGACACTTCTAATAGATAAACTAAATGTTCATAGGGACAGAGGAACTGCCAGCTTTAATGGTTCATCTATTCCTCTGTCCTGTCTTTGACAGTTGCCAACACAGGAGACTTCAGAGGAAGGTACAAGAAACTCTACAGGATGCATTCAGTGGCCCTACAATCTCAAACCTAGAGGCAGTTGCTTTAGAACAGGGCTCAGGTCCATTGACAGGACACTGCTAAAATTACCCAGCAGGGTCAATTTCCTACCATAAAAGTAGTCATTTAGTCCCCAATGCCATCACAATGCTAACGTCACTTAATAAAAATGAAGATTTTTTTTCCAAGATAAGGCAATAATAAATAAAAAAAAACACTGTTATAGTTACATATACAAGGACCTTTGTGGTATGATTCTAAAGTAGAAGGGAGTCACAAGACTTTAAAAAATTATTCCCAGGAAGGGACTAATATGAATACTTAACCACTTATTCACTAATGATTGTGCCAACGCTGCAGCCCTCAGTCAGGATTTTAATGGGACTAAGTAACAGAGTTGGCAGCTCTTAACACAATTCGCTCTTGATTCTCACAACATTAGGACCTTCTCTGGAAACCCTGGTTGCACACTGTCATGAGAATCTCAGCTTCGGGCCGAATCTCAGTTTTTAGGCTTTGTGGTTGCAGAAAAGATTTTGACAATGTAACCCCTAAAGCCTAAAAAATGGAAAGCAAACAAGAACCCAAGACATATTATTTTTAAGATCTTAAGGTTTTGAGAGCAGCCTTATAATTTTTAAGGGGCTTGACTCATGATTTTCAACTTGAGGTTGGCAATACCATAGAGAGTGCTGCAAGATTTTGCATGCTCCAGCTTATTGCTACAAGTGCTCATTTGTGTGGGAAAAGATATGCAGTGATTCTGCAGTAATTTGGCAGTAAAAATTATTGAAGCTCCTGAAAGGGGTATGGTACATGGAAATGAGCCTCATTACTCCAAGACATGCTTTCATGGATCTTATTTACCTCATTCAAAGAGGCTACCACAGTAATACCAACAAAAATTCCTACAAGGGGGCAAGTAAATTGTTCAAGGGCAAAAGCATTCCTTTGAAGGAGGAGGCATCATAGAGCGAGGTGTCATTTCACTGATGCAACAACCTCTATTCATGACAAGTAAATACCTATTCCCCTTGGATGGCAGATCTATCCTCCAGGAATGTCCCAGTTAGGGTGTATAGTCCCTGTAATGGATGTATATTCCCTGACAAATGGTCACTGGGCTTGTCCCCATGAAGTTAGCATCCATTATGCATGAACACAGACTGCAAAGGCTACTACAGTGAACCATCTTTCTTTAAAAGGTTGGGTTTCTTCAGAGCAGCTACCTGCCAGCTCCTGATTTCTGATGCCCCAACACAGGTTCCAGCTGATTTCTGCATTGACATAGTCAAGCTGCATCCATGATGTCCAGGCAACTCCATATTGACAACCCCAGTATGGGTGGGAGTTTTCCTAATAATATTTAGAATGTCTTCTTATGGAAATTCGCATTCTAGTTTTCCTTAGTAGAGGAAGTGCCTCTCAAACTACACTACCCACGATCCTTTACTAGAATACAGGGTTGGAGAGTAGATTATTAGCAGCAATGTCCATCTTTCCTTTCAAATAAAAAGAAGATAAATACCACATGTGCTCATTATACCAGGCTGTTAAAAACTGGTAAAATGGTTGCACATGGAATAAATGGATGCTCACCAGAACTGGGAACTGCTTCACCATGTGAGAAATCTGAATATTCTGAGGCTTCAGATAACAGCAGTTCTCTTCCAATCAGCAAGTGTGACTGGTACTTAAATCAACATCAGCAACTGCAACAAACACACCATTTTAATCTAATTTCTTTCTAAATTAACTATGTGGTGAGAAGTACCAGCTGCATAGTCTGGAGACAAAAAGTCCTCTACTTAGTCAAACAGTCCAGCATTGGCATCAGCTATGCGAGATTCTTTTACACCATTCAACCAAAATTAAGTAAGGCAGGCCTAAGGGGGATATGGGGTGACCAGGTAGTCATTCTCCATGGTTGCATTCAATCCTTGGCCTCCTTGTTGAGACTGATAAAAAGGCTGGCAATTGCAGTGCCAACTTTTGCAATTTCATTCCAGGTTGTCCACACTGGATTTAATTATCTGCACATGGCTTTGCAACTTTTCAGAACTGTTTTCTACACTGATGTCAGACAGATATACTATTCTGAAGTAGAGCAGTTTGCTATTAGAACAACAATAAATAAAGGCATCTAGCAGGTCTAATCTATTTGGGTTCTTCTCCTAGATACTCGCAGTTTAAAAGAAATACATAGGCAAAACTATATTTAAAAATAAGATAAAAATAGATATAGAAAATAAAGACCCTATATTACGTCCCCTGATTTTTTTTCATATATTTCATTTTGAAAAGAAGTACATTTCCCCCTGCATGGTCTGAAACCCAAACACTGCAGCATTTTTCCCAATACGTGAGAAACTGAGTATGAAAATGACTAGAAACAAAAGTAAAATTGACCCTGATGTTTTCAGTATACAAGCCAAAATAAATGGGGGGGGGGGGGGGGGAAAGAAAGAGAGCTTAGTGAGGAGTAAATTATATTTTTTCGTTACTGCAGTTCTTATCAATTGAAATAATCTGAATAATGAAGAAGGATTTTTCTTTTTTTAATAAAATGGGTCGGATGCCCTCCTTGCAGTGTAAATCAGGAGAAACTCTCAAATCAATATAATTTCACTGGTCTAAAACAGCAGAGGAGGTATAGCAATCTCAGACCCAATACATTAAAGCTGTTCCTTAATAAAATCTTGTCACCATGCCCAAGCTAACAATACTAACTTTTAGGATCAAACTTCTGTTCTTATTTGCATGGATTTTAATTTGGTGTGGCGCTTGTAATTTACACAAAAGGGATGCAAACCAATTATAAACATAATTTGCAAGGAAGCGTAAGTATTTTGGCCCACAATTTGCTGATCTGCCATAATGAGTAATCCAAGTGTTTCCACGTACATTTGAAACCCCCTAGTTTGGGCTCTATTCTGAAACACTGGCACATTTACTCCAACATGATAGCAAACAGACATATGACATCTGAAAATTAACCACTTGCCCCATTCCTATCAAAACTATGAATAATTGCACCTTGCCATACTACACTTTCAGTGCTTACAGTAAGACACAATAGTTAAAGCCTAGCCTTTTCCAAAAAACCTAAGGGAGTAAGGTACTCAGCTTCCACTCACTTTTACCCTCCCTCATAGAAACAGGATCTATTGCCATTTTTTCCCCAAACTTGCCATTTGCGAGGTCTCTTCAGTAAACATTGTCCCACTCTTAGATATTTAGACATAAGAATCTTCCAGCCACTGCTAATAATTTTTTTTAAACGATCAACCCCCCCCCCCCCCCCCCCCCCCCCCCCCCATTTTTGCAGTGCAACACCTTACCTCTCTGCTTCAAGGCGCATTTCCTCACGCTTTTGCCTCCTGAGTTCCCTGCGGCGTTCAAAGTCATCCATGGTGCCTGCTCAAACTCTCGAAGCTCCGAAAAGATCCAAATCTAAAAGGAGGAGAGTGGACAAATTACACAGAATACAATGGATGCATTTACCCAACTGAGCTAAATCAGTTTTGTTTTGCTTTTTAAACTCCACTGCAACTATTTTCTTTTTCTATCAAGACATGTAACTTCCACAGTATTGCTGAGATAAACAAGATTAATGAAATGCCTAGTAGGATAAACACAGCCCATTCCTGAGTTTAGTTTCCTACTTAAAATTAAATCAACATACATTAAACTAAGTACTGTATATATCTGCTAGCCGCAGTCTAGCTGTTCGTAACGTCACAGGTCTTTTCCTGCAAACAATAGCAAGAATTCAGCAAGATTGTAACTCTCTTTTTTTACTTCAAATTTTACTGGAAACAGTAAAATGCTACACAACAGATTTCTTGTTTTCCCTATCTGCACAGATAAAAAGACGTTCTGGAAAGGTTAACCCTAAAAAAAGAGAAAGATAGCAAGAAAAGAAGCCAGAGCTTTTAAATACCACCCAGAAGGATCCAAGTTACGTATAAATCCTATTTAAGGAACCAAACATAGTGATATTTTCTGTAGTTTAATCCATGTATTTTAACCATGCCATACCTTTTTTGATGATTTAGTCCATGAAATATTTCCCCTTTATACTTCTTCATATACAAAGCCTTTTCAGCCTTGGTTTATATCCCATCAAGCCGAGTATTACAGAATTCCCCTGCAGCCCCCAAACCAAAAATGACTACCAGAAAAGGGAAAGCTGTTCTCTTTTTGTCCCTGGTTTGTTTACAGAGCTGTCAGTGGTTAGTTAAACTCTGCCTGGAATCTGGCATTTAAGGCCTGCTCTAAGATTGCTTCCTGTGTAGAGCTGGAGGCCTCAACTTCCTCTGGAAATCTAGCCTAGACGCTGCACTCAGAGGGTTTTTTTTCCCCTAAAAACATTTTCCAGCCCTTTAGTACGAGACCAGCCCTTTGCACTGCAAAAAAAAACGTCAGATGCAGTCCAAAATTGAAGCATGTCTCTTAAATACTTGCAATTTAAAGGAGACAAGGCAAGATGCATTCATTGGGTATTTGATGTCTTTTTTAAATAATCTGTCTGTTTTAAGATTTTAATTTCTGACCATCAGTACAGTGTCTGAGCATGTTCCACTTAAAATCAATAGCAGTAATGAACTTCTTAGCAGCTTTTGACCGAACTATCTGCTCTGTTTCAGGGTAGGGGTTGTTCTCTGTTTGCTTCAGGGGGGTTAAAATGAAATGTGCTTGTGATGAGTTTGATAGTACTTGTAAACATTTCATATCTTTTAAATAAAATTTATAGAAAAACAAAACACACAGCAATATTACCAGAAAATTATAACAAGACATTTTTCACATTTTTATTTATCAGTAGAGAGAAGTAGTTAGCCATATTAGTCTGAAGTCAGGCAGAAGGCAGGGTGATGCACCTTATAGACTAACTGAATCAGAGATGTCCAAGCTTTCATGAGCAAGACTTTGCCTCAGCAGATGCTAACTGATGAAGATGCTAGCTGGCGCATATGATTAAATAATCTTGCTCATGAAAGTTTGTATGTCCCTGATTCACTTAGCCTACAAGGTGCATCTCGACCCCGTTAGCCATTCAAAAGCCTTGAAACAAAATCTGCCTCTTTTCCAGACTAGCAGAGCAGCCTGACAGAGCTCAGTGCAGCCCCTGGTGTCTTGACTGGTAGCAGTGTAATTCCCTTAGCATTGGAATCTGCACAGTTCGTAGAATCATAGAAAATTAGGGTTGGAAGGAACCTCAGAAGGCCATCTACTCCAACCCCATGCTCAAAGCAGGACCAGCCCCAACTATATCCTTCCAGCCAAGACTTTGTCTACCCGGGCCTTAAAAACCTCTAAGGATGGAAATTCCACCACCTCTCTGGGTAACCTGTTCCACTGCTTTACTACTCTCTAAGTGAGAAAGTTTTTCCTAATACCTAAACTAAACCTCCCTTGCTGCAACTTAATGCAATTGCACCTTGTTCTGTCATGTACCACTCCTGAAAACAGTCTAGCTCCATCCTTTTTGGAACCCCGCTTCAGGTAGTTGAAAGCTGGTATTTAAATCCCCCCTCAGTCTTCTCTTCTCCAGACTAAATAAATCCAGTTCCCTCAGCCTCTCTTCGTAAGTCATGTGCCCCAGCCCCCTAACCATTACTGTTGCCCTCTGCTGGCCTCTCTCCAATTTGTCCACATCTTTTTTGTATTGGGGTGGGGGTGGGGAGGGAGGGTGCAAAACTGAACACTGTGCTCCAGATGTGGCCTCACCACTGCCAAAAATAGAGGAATAATCACTTCCCTCAATCTTCTGGCAATGCTCCTACTAATGCAGCCCAGTATGCCATTAGCTTTCTTCGCAACAAGGACACACTGTTGGCTCATATTCAGCTTATTGTCCACTATAACCCCCAGGTCCTTTTCTGCAGAAATGCTGCTTAGCCAGTTGGCCCTCAGCCTGTACCAGTGCATGGGATTGTTCTGTCCTAAGTGCAGGACCCGGACAACTATAGGCCCGTCAGTCTTACCTCAATCCTGGGGAAACTCTTTGAGAAGATAATCAAGGAGCACATCTGTGATGGGCTGGCATTGGGGATGATGCTCAAGGGCAACCAGCACGGTTTCATTAGGGGCAGGTCATGTCAGACCAACCTGATTGCCTTTTACGATCAGGTCACAAAAGCATTGGATGCAGGTGTTGCCGTCGATGTAGTCTTTATGGACTTCAGCAAGGCCTTTGACACTGTCTCCCACCCCATCCTCATTAAAAAACTAGGCGAGTGTGGCATTGATGCCTACACAGTCAGATGGATTGCAAATTGGCTGAAGGGTCGTACTTCGAGAGTGGTGGTGGATGGATCATATTTGACCTGGGGGGAAGTGGGCAGCGGAGTCCCCCAGGGCTCGGTCCTTGGGCCCACACTGTTCAATTTCTTTATCAGCGATTTGGACAACGGGGTGAAAAGCAACCTGTTTAAATTTGCTGATGATACCAAAATTTGGGGTGAGGTGGGCACGCTAGCAGGGAGAGAAAGACTGCAGCAAGACCTGGATAGGTTGCAGGGGTGGGCTAACAAAAACAGGATGCATTTCAATACTAACAAGCGCAGGGTGCTGCACTTGGGCAGTAGTAACCAGCAGTACACTTATAAGATGGGAAACTCCCTTCTCGAGAGCACGGAGGCTGAAAGGGATCTTGGAGTCATTATTGACTCGGGCAACAGCTGGAGTACTGTGTCCTGTTCTGGGCGCCCCACTTCAAGAGGGATGTGGAAAACATCGAGAGGGTCCAGAGGAGGGCCACCCGCATGATCCGGGGACAACAGGGCAGACCCTACAGTGAGAGACTGCGGGACCTGAACCTATTCAGCCTCCACAAGAGAAGGCTGAGGGGGGACCTGGTGACCATCTATAAACTCACTAGGGGGGACCAGAAAGGTTTGGGGGAGACCTTGTTTCCCCTAGCACCCCCCGGGATAACAAGGAATAACGGCCACAAGTTGTTGGAGAGTAGGTTTAGATTAGATATCCGTAAGAACTACTTCACAGTTTGGGCGGCTAGGATCTGGAACCAACTTCCAAGGGAAGTGGTGCTGGCTCTGTGCGCCCCATTTCAGGAGGCCCAGTTCTGTGCGCCCCAGTTCTGTGCGCCCCATTTCAGGAGGGATGTGGACAACATGGAGAGGGTCCAGAGGAGGGCCACCCGCATGATCCGGGGACAACAGGGCAGCCCCTACAGTCAGAGACTGCGGGACCTGAACCTATTCAGCCTCCACAAGAGAAGGCTGAGGGGGGACCTGGTGACCGTCTATAAACTCACTAGGGGGAACCAGAAGGGTTTGGGGGAGACGCTGTTTCCCCTAGCCCCCGCTGGCATAACAAGGAGTAATGGGCACAAGTTGATGGAGAGGAGGTACAGATTGGACATCCGAAAAAACTACTTCACAGTTAGGGCGGCTAGGAGCTGGAACCAACTTCCAAGGGAGGTGGTGCTGGCCCCTACCCTGGGGATCTTTAAGAAGAGGCTGGATACTTACCTGGCTGGACTCATTTGAGTCCCGTTTTTGTTTTTAGGGTGAGTGGTTTTGTTTGTGTTTTTGGGTTGTTCTCCCGCCCTGGCGGGGGGTCGGGCTAGAAGATCTATTAGGTCCCTTCCGACCCTAAAACTATGAAACTATATAATGTGTAATATGCCACTGACTTGTGTAAACACCAACACCATTAAAGCAGTGCAAAAGCATTTAACATGCTTTAAAGTGTTGTGCACACATGCCCCCCATTTTGTCTACACACACCCATAGAAAATTGTGTCCCTTACCTGCATGTCCCTTATCTGGGTAGTTGAGTAACTGTTGCTGAAAGGTTTGTGCTCACCATGACCTATATGGAAGTCTAAGGTGAAGGCACTTCCAGCTCAGGAATCAGAAGAGGAAAAGAGGTTTCAAACTGAAGATACCCATCCATCCATTCATCCAAGGATAAGCACTTATGATGTCCAGATCCTTTTAGTGGGTTCTGCCTGGGCCTATTAACCACTGGGTTCTTTAAAGCTGAAATCCTTAGGGTGATAACAAGTCAGGAAGAGTCACAGGATCTACTAGATCTGGGAAGAACAAAGATCTAAAAGAGCTGGGTTGCTTCTACACCAAAAGAGAAGCAGTGCCTCAGCAGCAAAGTAGCAGTGCTCCCCAGCAACTGGCAAGGAGCAGCACTCCAGCTGTGAGGTGCAATGATGGAGCAGTGCCCCAGCAGTGGTGAGGCAAGGGAAACTTTAGGCTATCAATTACATTGGTTTTATTGGCTATACTGTCCACTCTCTGTGGGGCTGAGAGAGAACTCTGACCAAATTGACATGCTAAACTGTTAATAGTGGGGTGAAGTGGGCTACTGAGCATTTAAACATTTCTAAATCTGAGTCTAATCCTCCAATCTGTCAAGCTCTCTATGAATCCTAGCCCTGCCCACCAGTGTATTTATTACTCCCCCCTCCACCCCGCTTGGTGTCATCTGGTGTCATCGACCCAGCTTCCAGGTCATTGATGAAGATACTGAACAAAACCAGCCCCAGGACTGGTTGCACTATGGAAAAGAGAGCTGAATCAAGAAGGACTGTATACCACAAGGCACCTGAAAGTGCTAGAGGATAAGTACAAGATGGTAAAACCCTGAGATAAATCAACTAGCAGGATTGAAGTCCTGGACTTCAAAAATGCTGACTTAAACAGGCTCAAGGCATTAGTAGGAGAGTCAATGCGAGACCAGCGACGGAAGGCAAATGGGGTGCATGAAGAGTGGTTGTTCCTCAAGGACACAATCCTTGAAGCACAAAACAAAACTTTTCCCATGAAGAAGAAAGGTAGCAGAAGGGCTGGCAAGCCCTCCTGGCTCAATAGAGATATTGCGGTCCTCTTGAAAAAGAAAAAAGAGGCATGCACACAGTGGAAGTTAGGAGGACTACACAACAATGGCC